TGAATGCTTGTATTTAAGATAAATAGAGAAAAAATTATCTAATTATTTTTAAACTATTTATAGACATTTTTTTAAATCCGGGAAAAAAGTAATGTTCTCATTAACATGCTAGGGACCTGGGTAGTTGTAGAGAGTTATGATCGTTCATGTCCTGAAGGGACACGGCACATACAAGAAGATACATTACAAATGATCAACCACACATTATCTTCCTTTTATACAACAGTATTTTACTTCTTTTTTTTTTTAATCTTTCATTCTTACAGTTACATTTTTTAAAACTGTGGAATGTCATTTGCCGAAAACTGACTTCACCGAAAGATTTAAATCTTCACTTCGTCGAATGGGCCATTCCTCCGAAACAACAAAAAAGTGTTATAAAATTAAAGGGAGATAATTCATATTTCTGAATTGTGTTTTTTAAATTACCGTATATTTTCCTCGTATAGGGCGATCTTTAGATAAGACGAGGTCAAAAAATATAGCAAAATTTTCATGAATTTATCTTGTACCTGTAGTAAAAAGATGACTGCTTATTGATTATATAAAGATAATGTTTGAAATGTTGTTACTGTATCCTTAGAAATTTAAAATAAACAAAATAACAAGACTGATTTTATATCATGTTTTCATACACATTCATATTCTGAATGCATGTTTTTTAAATAAATAATAAGAAAAATTATCTAATTATTTTTTAAACTATTTATAGACACTTTTTTTTAAATCCGGGGAAAAAAAAGTAATGTTCTCATTAACATGCTAGAGACCTGGGAAGTTGTAGAGAGCTATGATCGTTCATGTCCTGAAGGGACACGGCACATACAAGAAGATACATTACAAATGATCAACCGCACATTATCTTCTTGGGAACACCAGGTGCTGTAATTTTGGATATGCAGGTGGTGTAATGGATAATTGCTCGGAATTATTAATCGGAGAGCCGAGTTCTAATTCAATCAGGTTTGTTATATTCACTTACTTATACTACTCGAAAATCACGAAACAACGCTAATAATAGTACGATAATGTACGATAATAGTACATTCTATTACTCTGAATGCAGTCATAACTCATTATTTATATTTTTCTCAGCTGAGCTTGCATGGCACAAGTTGATTTCATTGATATGGGAATTATTCTTCGAATATGCAATTTATTATGAAGCTGTGTCAGGTAGAAATTGTTATTATTACTTTTATTATCAGTTTATTTGATAATGTGAATCTTTTCATGTACGTTATTGTTATCACACCAAGGCCGAGGTTAGCGTACCGACAAAGGTTACTCAAATTTTAAGATTTCTTTTTTTAGAATTGTAGTATAAGACGACCTCCAATTTGTAAGTGGGATTTAAAGGTCACCTTATACGCGGAAATATACGGTATGTGTCATTTAAAAATATTGTTTAGTTACGATAACGAAACCCTTTTTCTTTATAAATTTATCCAAGGAATCTTCATTCATGTAATTATGTTGCTCAATATTTCGGGTTTATTCTAGGACTAATTAAAAACTAGAAAAAGAATGACGAAAAACGAAACCCAGTTAAATATTCGTCACATACAAAATACACGCTTAAATAAATTAAATATTCTTTTTTTAAAGTCTTCATATTAATTAATTTTACTCTTTTTTATTTGTTTATTTATTTTAATATTTAGCTTATGTCCACATTACGTTGCAACACCGATTCCCGTTAAGCAATGCTGGCTTGGTCAGTACCTAGACGGGTGACCGTTTGGGAACACCAGGTGCTGTAATCTTGGATATGCAGGTGGTGTAATGGACAATTGCTCGGAATTATTAATCGGAGAGCCGAGTTCTAATTCCAATCGGGTTCGTTATATTCACTTACACGCAAATAACCTTGGGAAAGGCATGAATCCACATCTTCTCCCCGTCAAAATCCGAGTTAATTATTAAGACTTGTACCACTAAACCATTATTATCTCAAAAAAGATTCACACAGTCTAAATTTTTTTCTGGCTTTAAATAACCCGCAAAAAAAAAAAAACGAATCAATCAACCATAATTTAATATTTATAATCGATTTTTTATTTATATATTATTTTTGTTACCGAGAAAAAAAAAACAATTTCTTTTAAATCATTTCATCCTAAGCGAGGCGATAATGCCACTAGGACGCAAGGGGTTACTAAGAGTGAAAGAGAATGAGAAGAGAGTTTAGTGGGGAGAACTGTATTCGGAAAGAAAAAAAATGGCGTTGGTGTTGCAAAATTGCCTGGCTTTGACTGAACCTCACATTAAATAACCCTTTTAAATAAACCGTGACATGTCAATGATTCGTCATTATCGTAAATGAGTAAAAAAAAAAAAAAAAATGAAATTAACAAATGCCATTTTTAAATGATGCATAATTTAAGAAAAGCCCCATTTAAATATAAGTTATCTCCCTTGGATTTGCTATGAATATATCTAAAGAAAATGAATAGGGAAGCTTCGTTACTATCGGTTTTAAGGAACACACTCTACTAGGGTTGCCAGATTAGAAAATTAGAAATACGAGACACTCTTAAAATCTCTTTCTCTGTCTCCCCCCTCTCTCTCTCTCTCTCTCTCTTTTCTTTCTTTACATATATATGATTGCAAATGGCATGAAACTCCTGTTGTGCAATCAATGTATTATATATATATATATATATATATATATATATATATATATATATATATATATATATATATACAAGTCTCAAACACTAATATTCTATTTTTAGAATTTATTACATTGGAATCGTAATCACGGTCCAATTCATCAGGCCTAAAATTCAATATATATATATATATATATATATATATATATATATATATATATATATATATATGAATTTGTATATATATATATATATATATATATATATATATAAAAAGAATTTAATTTACAAAGTTAAAAATAGCAATGTTAATGATAAATGTTGACATCACTTCGCTAACAAGGCTTAATGAAATATAAAATGGCGCTTGGTGTTGCAAAATTGCTGGCTTTGACTGATCCTAACATTAAATAACCCTTTTAAATAAACCAAGTGACTTGTCAATGATTCATCATTATCGTAAATGAGTAACAATATGAAATTAACAAATGCCATGATGCATAATTGAAGAAAAAAACATTTAGATATAAGTTATCTCCCTTGGATTTTTTCGGTGAAGTTTCGATCAAACCGTTTCGGTGAAACCAGTTTTCGGATAAATGTTTGGTCCGGATCCATTTTTTGTTTTTTGTTTGTTTGGATACCAACAACCTAAAAACTAATAACCCTTTGTTTTAAAATGTCCGATTTAATGTTCTAACAGGAAGATTCAAATTGTAAGAAAATCTTTTGGCAAAGGACTGGGTTTTTTTGTTCTCACTGAAAAATATTTTTCAACAATAAATATAGATTTGAATTGTCAATAAATAGGTTTTGTTTGTACAATCTCTGCCTCATGGTCCGTCAGTTCATTATGGAAAAGTTTTACATGTTCATATTGATATGAAAAAATGTTTAAAATGATTTTGTAATAATAATTTAATGCAATTAATTCCAGCCGTGTGGTCTTTTTTGCAGCCAGATTTATTTTGGTGTGGGTGGGGTTAATAATGATTAAAAAATGTTTATGGGTTTAATATTTATGTCTTTTTTATATTCATTGTTCTTTACTTACATTTTAAGGGAGTAATTTGTTCAAAAACATTAAATAGTATTTTTGTTATTCTTTCTTTCAGCATTCTTTCTTTTTTCTTTTTTTTCTTTCGTTTTCTTTTTCAGTTTTTTCTTTTTTACTCTTTCTTTCTTTGCTTCATCATTTTTTCCTTTTCTGTTTATTCTTTCGTTTTCTTTTTCTGTTTATTATTTATACTTTCTTTCTTTCCGTCCTTCCTTCTTTTTTTCTTTCTTTTTATTTCTTTGTTAATTTCATTCTTTCGTTTTGTTTTTACTTACTTTCTTCCCAACATTCCTCTTTCTTTCTTTTTTTGATTATTATTTTTTCTTTCTGTTTATTCTTCTTTTATTTATTTATTTCTGTTCTTTTTCTTTCTTTCTTTCTTTCTTTCTTTCTTTCTTTCTTTCTGTCTGTTCTTTTTTTCTTTTGTCTTTCTTTCTTTCTGTCTATTCTTCTTTTCTTTCTTTTTTTCTTTCTTTCTTTCTTTTCCTTCTTTTTTATTTATTTCTTTCTTTCATTCCATTCTTTTTTCTCTCTTTCTTCCTTTCCCTTTTTCTTTCTTTCTTTCATTCTATTCTTTCTTTCTTTCTTTCTTTCTTTCTATATTTATTTATTTCTGTCTATTCTTTCTTTCTTTTTGTCCTATTCTATTCTTTTTTCTTCCTATTCTTTTCTTTCTTTCTGTCTATTTTTCTATCTTTCTTTCTTTCCATTCTTTTCTTCTTTCTTTCTCTTTCTCTTTTTTTAATTTTTTAATTCTTTTAGTCTGATCTTTCTCTCTTTTTAATACCTAATAAAATGAACATAACATAAGCATCATTTAACCCGAAATTCAAGCAAAGGTGAAAAACGTTTTTTTGTCCTTCTTCAATCTGACAGAGATTGAAAATGCAGTTAGAATCATTACACAACCTTGACTCATGCTGTTTGCAATTAAAAATATTTGAAAAGTTGTCGCCCCTGGCTTGGCCAAGTTGCGCCTTTTGTAGTTGAATGTTCATGGAATAGAAACTTATTACAGTGTAACCCGGATATAAGAGGCCCGGATATAAGAGAAACCCGGGTATAAGAGAGATTGTCTCTGGTCCCAAATTAGAGCCTGTGTTAATGTATATAAAATAGACCAAACCTGGATATAAGAGAAACCCGGATATAAGAGACTTCTTCTCCGGTCCCGACAACTCTCTTACATCCGGGTTACACTGTATTTTCATTTTTGTTTACTTTCATTTGAAGGGAGTAATTTGTTCAAAAAAAATTCACGTAATATCCTTTCTTTTTTGTTGGTTTGGGAGTTTTTCTAAATAAAAGAAAAAATATATATATATACATCATTTCACCCTAAATTCGAGCAACGGTGAAAACCGTGATTTGTCTTTGTTTAATTTAGCATAGATTTTGGCCCCACATGCTCTCCTTCCGGCCACCACAGTCCCCTCCCAAATCCCAGGCGAAGACTCCCTAAAATGAAACCACGTGTCCGCAATCAGCATGGCGATATCGACCGCTGCCGGAACGCAAACACGAAACGTGATCCGTTTGTCCGGGTTGATATCACCCACTTGCGGATCGAGAAGTGTGCAGTTGAACCACCGATGGCAAGCTCGGGGCAGTGGACGTTTGTCCAACGAAGTCAGCTTACAGTTGATCAAATATCGAAAAATACAGTCGTAGGCTTCTTCACCGGAAGCGTCGCGCTCACAACCAAAGAGAGAAAAAACATAAAAACCGCGCACGGGGCATCGGATCTGATAAGAAATAGTGGTTTCGTCCCGAAACCTCACAAATGCATACCGATTAAAGTCCTCGATATTCGTCGTCTCGTTCGTTCCCTGAAACTGCAGCGAATGGGAGATTTTAACGAGGTTGTTAATCTCGAAACGGAAGTGTAGATCTTCTTCCTCGTAGACAAGAAACGGGTCGATGTGACTGATTGGTATCAAGCCGAACTCGCTGAGACTAGGTGTGGGCCCGAAAAAAGGTACCAGGGGGAAGCTATGCCGCTGGACTTTCTCTTTTTCCGGGCACTTGATAAGGAACGAGCAAGCACTTTGTAACGATTCGGAGTTCCATCGTTCTTTGGCGAAGATCGTGAAGTAAAACTTACCCGGCTTTGGTGGCGCTACTGTGAAAATTGCCTTGTGTCCGATTATCCTCAACATAGTCCGACCCTCCACTGGCGCCGAGTCGCTAGTCAGGCCTTTCATCGTCAAAGTATATCCGAACCCTAGTAAATCGGGCATTTTTAGTTCGATGACCACAATTCCGTTCTTACTGATTAAAATGCTTTCGTAATGAACGACGAATCGCAGGCTGTAATTGAAAAACGTCGACTTCACTACAGGCAGCTTAACAAACTCCGCCATGGAGATAGGCGAGTCCAAGAGCTGCCAGGTAGGGTCGTCGGGAAAATGCTGATAGATGTGATCCTCGGGTTCGGTTATGAAGTAAAACTCGTCGCAAAGATAGTAAAATTCGGACAAGCCTATATCGCATTTATCTTCAGAATTTGGTGGCGATGGTTGTTGTTGCTGTTGTTGCTGCTGCTGCTGTTGATGATGCTGCTGATGCTGCTGTTGATGCTGCTGCTGCTGCTGCTGCCTCGATTCGTACGTGTTCTGGTGACCTCTGACATGCCTTGCTCCCCAGTTACAGTTAATGAACTGCCACGACCCTTCAATGTTAATGGCTGTCCAAGAGTTTCGGAATCGTTGTTCGTCTACTCTCATGCCAGGTTTATATCCAGCACCCTTAGAAAAGCCTTGAATGATTTCGCAGTACATCCCAGCGTAACTGTAAATGAAGTTAAAGAAATATAACTGTCAATTAATAAAAATACAATTAATAAAAGAACTATACGTACACGTTAAATCTGAATCAAATGAATGAAGAGATAATCCTAAAACCAACAAAACAAAGATAAGGATTATGGAAGATGTTATGGTCCAGGTTAGGACCAAGGAAGAACAACACGAACACAAGAGTAGAAATAACGAAGGTATATTACACGAAATAATAATAGATGTGGAAGGTGTTAGTATGACTGTCAGTCTGGTTTGGAGTGAACTACTATCGGCTCGACTCGATGCGATATTTACTCCCAAACGAGGGTTGCATCTGGCATAAGGCCGAGTTTAACGTGGGTTTCCCAAGCCCGTAGGCTCGGCCAAAAATTACCCGTAGAACCCATATAAACGGGATTGGATTGGTCAACCTCCCCAAACGAGACTCTACCCTTCGGCGGAGCCTCGTCCGTGTTCCTCTCTGCTCAGAGGCAGAGAGTTCGACCATCAAGCCGAAAGGCTCGGCTTGAATCGGTATCTAGCCACCCCCCCACCCCGAGGGTTGCATGTGGCACAAGGCCGAGTTTAACGTGGGTTTCCCGAGCCCGTAGGCTCGGCCAAAAAATGCCCGTAGGACACATATAAACGGGATCGGGTTGGTCAACCTCCCCGAACGAGACTCTGCCTTTCGGCGGAGCCTCGTCCGGGTTCCTCTCTGCTCAGAGGCAGAGAGTTCGACCGTCAAGCCGAAAGGCTCGGCTTGAATCGTTCCTCCCTCTTGAGAGGCGTAGTATACATAGTGTTAGGAAGAGTTCATTCTGTAGTTATAGGTAAGGACCCATGACAGAAGAACACCAGGGAAACGTCAATAGCAAGAAGAAAACTATTCACTTTCCAGATATTTCTATCCGACAACAAGGCCTCTGATCGAGAGGTTTTCAGGAGCGTGGAACCACCTCTTAATTACTGATGTGATAGCACCTGTGAGGGTCCCAGCTATGGGCAAAATAGTAAACCCCCAAAACTGGGGCCAAAACTCTATGAAAGTATATATATATATATTTTTAATATATATTTAATATATTTTTTTTTTATAGTAAAAGTGCCAGCAATACATTTTGAAGAAAAAATATTACCAGCAATACATTTAACTCTCTACGAAAACCCTCTTTACAAAATAAGTCAATGATCTACAAACTGATTTCTTACAAAGAATACACATGCTATTCATACGAACCTAACCTACAAATCTTGTTGGTATTAAATAACCCATTGATGTTGGTAAACCTTAAAACAAAATAAACCAAACCAAATATTTCTTTTTTTTATATATACTAATGTTCACATAACGGGTTATTTAATGCTGAAATGTAAATATTTTGCACGCAATCTTGTTTTTATTTTTATTTGTTTATTTTTATTTATTAATTTATTTTTAATTAATTATTTATTTTTATTTATTTATTTTATTTATTTATTTTTATTTATTTTCATTTTTATTTATTTTAATTTATTTATTTATTTATTTTTATTTATTTATATATTTTTTATTTATTTTATTTATTTTCATTTATTTATTTTATATATTTTTTTTTATTTCTTTATTTTTATTTATATATTTATTTTTATTTATTTTCATTTTTATTTATTTATTTAATTTTATTAATTTAATTTAATTTATTTTTTTTTTATTTATTTATTTTTATTTATTTTCATTTATTTATTTTATATATTTATTTTTATTTTTATTTGTTTATTTTTATTTATGTATTTATTTTTATTTTTATTTAATTTCATTTTTTATTTATTTATTTATTTAATTTTATTTATTTAATTTAATTTATTTTTTATTTATTTATTTTTATTTATTTATCTGTTTTATTTATTTTCATTTATTTATTTTTATATATTTATTTTTTTTATTTTTATTTGTTTATCTATTTTTTCTTTAGTTATTTTTATTTATTTATTTTTATTTATGTATTTATTTTATCTACTTTTTTATTTTATTTATCGAATTATTTTATTTATTTATCTATTTCTGTTTATTTATTTTAATTTATTTATTTCTATTTATATTTTTATTTATTTATATTTGAGCTAATAATGATTTTAGAGATACAATTCCTACTAATTAACCCATAGCTAGACGGGGAGAATTCATACCGTTCCCAAGGGTATTTGCACGTAAGTGAATATAACGACAAACGACATCCAACACCAAGACCTCTTAATTGCGGTTGTTCCCAGGACTACCGTGACCCGGGGTGGTAACACCTGTTAGGGTCCCAGCTATGGGGAAATAGTTAACCCCCAAACATTCTGAAGTATAAAATTACATTTTTATAGTAAAAATACGAGCAGTACATTTTTATATAAGAATATTACCAACAATACATTTTTAAGCATAGTTATCAATAATAAATTTTATAGCAAAATGGCCAAAAATACATTTTATCTGTAGTTACATATCATATAGTCTACCATTCGTCCATGCTTGGAATATTGCTGCTACATATGGTACGGTGCCACTGCTATTTACTTTGGGCTCTTTGATAAGATCCAAAGTAGAATCAGCAATATTAATGGTCCTGATCTGACGGCTCGGCTTCACTAAATTCAAAAACACGGACGGTTTCAGATAAACAAAGTTAGTCACATGAGGTATTTAGTTTTATGATATTTATATCTTCGCTGGATATAGTCATATATTGTTTTCCGAAGTTTAATGCACTATATAATATATTCTTTTTGCTCCAGAATCTTACATATCTATAAGTCTACCATTCGTGCATGCTTAGAATATTATTGCCATATATGGTCCGGTACCCGTGCTATTTTTCTGGAGTTCCTTGACGAGATCCAAAGAAGAATCAGCAATATTAATGGTCCTGATCTGGCGGCTCGGCTTCACTCAATTCAAAAACACGGACGGTTTGAGATAAACAAAGTTAGTCACATAAGGTATTTAGTTTTATTATATTTATATCTTCAGTGTCGATAGTCACACAGTTTTTCTAAGTTTAGTTCATTCTTTAATGTATTCTTTTTCTTCCAGAATCTATCTTACATATCTATAAGTCTACCATCCGTCCATGATTAGAATATGGCTGCCACATATGGTCTAATTCCCCTGCTATTTACCTTGAGCTCATTGATAAGATCCAAAGAAGAATCAGCAATATTATTGGTCCTGATCTGGCGGCTCGGCTTCAGTTACTTTCCCACAGTCGTAAAGTTGCATTTCTGTGTCTTTTCTATAAATCCCTTCATGGTAATTGTTCGGGTAAACTCTTTACTATGGCACCTAGACTTTTTGAATTTAAGCGTCGAGATCTCATCAATTTACAGTCTAGCTAGCTAGACAGTTTCTTTTCGCACGTTTCTCATTTGTGGAACTCCCTTTCGGCTGCATGCTTTCCTCCCGGTTTTAATCTGCAATCTACTGTTCTGATTACTATTTCCTCTTCCCGCTCATTATTATTGTTTCTGTTTTCTAATTCTTCCACAGACTGTAACCCTCTGTGTCTTAGTGGCTTTACTGCTTTGCATGGATTGATACCGATTTAAAAAAAAAAAAAAGGTATAAGTTATAAAACAACATTCAAAATATTTATATTTCAGTGTTAAATGACCCATAGAAATCTTGATATGCCACTAAACAAAATCAAAACTGTTATGGGGTCCTCCCCTTTTTCATATAAGTAGACTCGTCCAGAGTGTTACTTGGACTGCTGCCGTTAAATACCCAGAGTCAGTCAGAATATAGAGAGAGAGTGGGAGAGAGTGAGCAGAGATTGTGATTGAGTTGGAGGTGGAGTAATAGTGTGAGGTAACCGCTTGTAGAAGTCAGTTACAAGTACGTAGACTCTAAGGAAGTCCTACTTCGAGACTGTATATATCTATATATTATTGCTACTAACCGCGTTCCTGGATTTACTAACAGTATTACCCATTGTATTATTGTGTAAATACATTTAAGTTCTTATCTTTAATTCTTGCGTTTGTCATTCATTGGAGACCGAATTTCATCTCGGAATCCACAACAAAAACCAAAAACCCAATCGTTTCAAAATAATAATCATTAAACTATTATTTACATTGTTCGGGCTGTTGTCCTCATCTTTATTGCCATATCCAGGACGTTTAGGCGGTTCATGCTCCGGCCTTCTTCAGGTGATTGGAGTTGTGACTTCAGTACCTGGCTACGGCAGTGGTGAACAAAAATTTGGAGAGTTCAGTTAAAAGGGAGATAACTGAGACATCCAAGAGGCGTGGCACGTAGAACTAGAACAATCTCCTCCGGTGGACGAAATAAAGGGTTCCGTTCGAAATTCCAATCACCTGAGCGTACAATAGCCGAAATGTCGTGGATATGGCAATAAAGATGAGAACAACAGTTCGAACAATGTAAGTAATTACAATCCCTCATCTCAGAAATATAGAAAAATAATGAAGAAGGCCGTAGGGTACAACGGCTGAAACGTCGGGAACATGACAATAAAGATGAGGACAACAATCCGAACAATGTAAATAATGTAAATAATTACAATGCCTCATCTCAGAAATATAAACAGATATTAAAGTGATTATTCAAAATAATTATTTTAAACAATTCTTACCTTGATAATCTCTTAAAGAGATCATGGTACGTTTCTGTTCCAAATTTAATTCCTCTTAATAATCCATATGGAGAATCAGGATTGACAGTTTCATCAATCTCCAATTTATTCAAATCTTTCCAGGTAACCCAACGATACAATGCCCTTTGAAGAAATGATAAAGGGGTAGAATTAACTATAAGAAAAACTGGACATTATGAATGAGAATTTTTAATTGTTACGTAAGAATAATGTATTGTAATAAAGACCATTTCTGAGACGTTAAATATTCATGCACGTTGAGGTAAATAAATAAATAAATAAATGATTGAACACCTTAGAGACTTACCTGGCCTTTTCAAGTTCATTTTCACAATTCCGTGTTAAATCGCGAACCAGTGTAGTAAACGTTGTATGCTCTTTCTGGGCCACCTGATAAGGAAATGACAGGTAGGATTAGAACATTTATTTTCATATAGATTTGTTTTTAAAATCATTTCATCCCAAGCAAGGCAATAAAGCTACTATGACACAAAGGGTTACTGAGTGCTACGAGGGAAAAAAATCTACCCCGGTGGATGAAATAAAGGGTTCAGTTTGAAATTCCAATCACCTGAAGAAGACCGGAGTGTACAACGGCCGAAACGTCGTGAATATGGCAGTAAAGACTAGGACGGCCGCCCGAACAATGTAAATAATTACAATATTTCATCTCAGAAATATAGATAGATATTAAAAATTTCAGTCTAATTTCTGGGATGAAGAGTTTTTATCATTTACATTCATATAGGTGGGATTAGAAAATGCACTTTCATATAGATTTTTTTTTTATCATTTCATCCCAAGCAAGACAATAAAGCCACTAAGACACAAAAGTGTTATGAGGGGGGAAAACACCATTAAGGAGAGAGAACAACAAAAGAACAAGAATTAAGAAGACAGAAGATAACGATTGACATTGCATTGAGATTTTTGAAAATCAAAGTTAATTAGGAAGCAAGAATCCGGGAGAGAGTTCCACAGGCGAGAAGTGTGATAAAAGAAACTGTTAACTTAGAACTTGCGGTTACATTAATAGGAGTAGATAGGTTCGCCTATCGCCTCGTTCACAAACCTTCCCAGTCTTTTGAACAGGACTAGAGGTTTATCATTTGTTTTCTGTTTAGGTTTGAGTTTCCTGCACAGGAAACAAGGGATAAACCTCTACTCTTGTTCAAAAGACCGGGAAGGTGCGTGAAGCGGGCGTTAGGCGTACCTATCTACTCTTGTTCTCGTTATGTAGGTTGTTCGCTGCTTTCCTCTGACCCTCTTGCCTTCTTGTGAGTGTCAAATTCTCTAATCCCTCTGTTCCCACTGTCTTTTTCTGGTGCTCAGTGTAAGAGTACTTTTTGTTCCTATTTTCTCTAAAACTTCCAGTACATGAAATTCCCAGCATCCTACTGTAGAACGACATTTCTGTTGACTTAAGTCTCTTCTTCATCTGAGATGAGATTGTGCGCCCTTAACCTCAAAATGCCACTGTTGAGTCTGACAGAACCGCGTCTAATCCGATTAATTTTTTTTAAATCTGGATTTTCTATGCATTATCTGCTAACGAACGGGGTGTGTGTAATGGATAACAACATCGAAATTGAAATTCCAGGCTAGTCAGTTGCATTCACTTATAGAAATGCATAAATCCGTTTCTTCTCTTCGTCGTCCACAGAACTATTTTATCCTTCTTCCCCAATAAGGAAGTATTACTAATGGCCGCTTCTGTTTTAAATCGCTACAGAGAAATGGCCACTATTTCCCTTTGCCTTATGTTCACTAAGTCTCCTTTCTCTGCTGTCCGTATCAAAGATAAATGTCATGACAGTTTCATCTTTTCAGCGTAGTAGAGGTTTCATCATCTTCGATATTGTCGTCGTCCACAGAGTCATTTTCTCCTTCTTCCTCAATAGGGAAATAGTAGTAATATCCACTTCTGTTTTACACCGCCAGACAGAAATATCCACTGAAATATGTTTATAATTTCGTTTTTCTTAGTATGAGTATGAGTATGTTGAATTTTTGTGTGAACGTGACTGTTCGTTTGTTCTAAATACTATGTAAAATTACTGTTTCAAAACATAATATGAACTCCGAAAATTCTTATTTTTACTTGATATGAACCAGATAAAAAAAAAAAAAAAATGTTAAATTAAGGTTAAACTGTTTCAAATTCTAAAATGGCAATACAATACGTGGGATGTTTTTTCTTCCAAAATTTCGATATATTTTTCCGAAAATTTCGATATATTTCTCAATTTTTATTTTATTTCTACAGAATTTCGATATATTTCTACAGAATTTCGATATATATATCAGAAAATTTCGATATTTTTCTATAGAATTTTGTCATATTTCTCCAGAATTTCTATATATTTATATAGAACTAGCAGCCATACTGAGCTGGTCGATCAGAAAAGTGTTTAATTAGAATGGAGCAAAAACAGCATCATGTTTAGATGTAACAGAGTCTATCTTCTTCAATTACTTTAAAGTACTTTCATTAAAAAATATTTTGAATTAATGCATTTACTGATATAACAGAAGTAGTCTGTATTTATTCAATCGAAGTTACCCGAGGACATGAAGGTGTAAAACAGGTAACATGAAGACCCATTTCAGGCCATAATTGTTTAGGAGTTTTTAAAATTCAATTTGTCAATGTGCTACCGGGGATGTAAAAGATGATACATTTATAAAGCAATTGTTAAGTTTGATGAAAATTGGTTGAAAGATCAACGAAAAATAAGAAAGAAACCAGTAAAAACCGCCATATTTCGTTATATGGGTGGACTCAATTATCAAGTTAAATGACTGTTAAACAATCAACTTATTGTTGGCTACAATTGAGTGAAGTGTGCATTAGATTGCTTGAAAATTGAGGGAGTTTTTAGTTTAAAATTTGTGTTGAAATCGATCTTTCGTTTTTCGTTAAACGCTGTGGCGTAGAAACAGAAATGAGGTATCGTTGAGGTCGTCATGATGTAAGTAACCAACGAACGAAATCAGATGAAAAAAAGTTGAATTTATCGATTTTTGATCGGTTTTTTTAAATTATTGATATTTTACGCTAAGAAACTCTCTCTTACATTGTACAATGTATATGCCAAGTTTGGTCAAAATCGGTTGGATGGATCTCGAGTGTAAAGGTATCGCACAGACAGACAGATGGATAGCCTCTGTTTTATATATAGAATTTGGATATATTTCTACAGAATTTCGTATTCCAAAATTTTACTGTGCACCTCGTTATACAGTACTCGATGCCATTTCTTTACAATCTTTAAGTCGGAACAGGAATCATCAGAAAACTTTATTCTTTTGTTGTCTTGACAATTTCATCGATGTTTTTTTTTTTTGTTTTGTTTTTTTTTTAAGAATAATTTTTTGTTTCGGGCTAACCAAATGAAGATCTTCTTTTAACGGAATTTCAGATACTTACTTCAAAGACATGCGAATCAACTTGCTCAAAAATTCTCGGACTGTCGTAGAGATATGATTTTCTGAATTCGGGTGGTGCTGGGGGTAAAGGTTTGGTTAGGTCTACCAAATTTTCTTGCTCACAACCACCGCCAGCTTCGGATTTCTCCTCCTGCAAGAATATATTTCCGGTAAAATGAATGCATTGTAATGAAAGAAAGAAAAAAAAAGTAATTCAATTCTTTTATATACCGTGTCCCTTCAGGACGTGAGCAATCATCTCCCTACACAATTTCCTCTCCTTTGCAATATTAGTTTCCTTACTATCTGTTATATATCGTACCTATGAACACTAATGAGTATGTACCAATCCTCATAAATACGCTGGACACAATCGTAAGTGGTGGGTAATATGGTGCCTACGTAGTGCACCACTAGCAGTGGTTTACCTACTTCATGCGGTTGGCGAGTATTGTATTTTGTTGATGTTATAAAGATTACCATTTCATTTCTAACCTCCGTTTTGGTTATTCCTCATTCAGTAATCCTTTCTAGGTTACAACATTTTGGCGACGAGGGTGAGATATGGAGAAGTTGGAACTATCGTCAAAAGAATTGGTAGGATATATTTAGTCAAAAGACCGAAAATGGTGCGCAAAAGGCACTTGAATCAACCAAAAAATAGGCATATAGATGAAGACAACGATACTCCAGTAGATGTTGAGCCAATGTTCTTTTTGACATATTTGATGTGTCCATTCCCCGGAAAGCCCGAGACAAAAATAATTAAAAAAAGAGAAAGTAAGAGGAAAAGAAGGGATATCGAGAGAATCGACATTATGCCGCTAAACAAAATCAACCAACAATACATATTTATAGTAAGATAATCATTTAGTGGATTTTTAAAGCAAAATCACCAGTAATCCATATTATCTGTAGTTGAAGGCATACAACTACATTTGAAATATTTAGATTTCGGTAATAAATAACCCGTAGAGGTTGATATGCCTCTAAACAAAATCAACCAACCACCAATACATATTTGTAGTAAGATAATCAGCAATAGATTTTTAAAGCAAAATCTCCAGCAATCCATTTTATCTGTAGTTAAAGAGATACAACCGCGTTCGAAATATATTTAGTTGAAGCGATAAAATTGGGCTCTAATTATTTATATTCGGCAGTAAATAACCCAAAAGGTGTTGATATGCCGCTAATCAAAATTAACCAAGAGCAAGAGACAGGGGAAGGCAGCTGGCCATCTACCTGAAGTCTTGTGTAAATGGATGGAGAGTCGAGGGGCGGAGGCTTGCTAAGGGAAGAAACTCTACTAAGGGGTACGAAAATTAGGAAGTTGTGGAAAGTCACGTTCTGAACGAGAAGAACTTCTCAGAGACAGCATTTAAAAAAAAAATGGCAGAAAACGAAGTATCTTACCTGTTTAACAGACAGTTTCTCGGAGATGAGGGCCAGCATCTGTTGGCTGTGCTTCTCGATCAGCTGAGCCACTTGGTTCCTTTCTTCGGCCGTCATCGTTTCCATGAGGTCCTTTATCATTGACTGCTTCTTTTTGGTGTATTCTTCCTCCAGCTTCTTCGTCTCCTCGGCCAGCTTGGTCTCCGGTTGCATCTGCGAGGCGATCCTCTCGAAGCTGTGAACCAATTCGGCCACGGACCTCTCCTGTTCCTCCTGCAGGTCAGCTTCCAGCTTTTTGATCTTCTTTTCCCGGTTGCGACGGAAAGTGCTGTACAAGAGGTCCTCTTCGACCTTCTGGATTTGTTCCAGATCATTCTGCGCATCAAACACACCGGATTGTTCAAAATCCTGAAATGGAATATTTATTATTAATTGAAAGTATTATGGAAATTTACCCACGCACGCATGGACTCTCCCAGCTATAAACAGGAGCAGGTACTGCCTTTTGGAGAGGAAGTTTTCCAGCAGTCAGCTCTGACAGTCGGACTGAACATTCTTGCTGTAACACTCTTGTTTGTATTACTGTTTCTGTTAATATATTTGTTTAACTCAATTCCTCTGTTTGTGTCTTTATTTCTGGCCCTAACAAGGCCACAACAGAAAGTAACAAAAAAAAAAAAAACATTTGTCGGTCACAGACACAGTACATTACTTGCACTTAGATTGCATATGATGAGGCGATGATCTACGAAGGTAAGTCAAAAATGATCGCACTTTCACAGTAATATATCTTTAAGTTAGTCATAATGCCTACTGATCAGACTTATTTATAGTTGTTATTATTGTGGTCAAGTGATTGAAGTTTGACCTTGATCGCGCCATTTTTTCCTGTTGCTGTCATAGTGTTTTTGTGATGTCAACGAACTCTCGTTGCCAGTTTTGTAATGTCAACGAATACCCGTTGTCACTTTCGTAATACTCGTTGTAGTAGAGACTTTGTAATCGAAGATGCAACTGTAGCAACGCCATTGAACAATACTGGCGTCAGACGCCTTCGAATAACACTCTCACTAATAGTACTTGCTCGATAATACTCGCTCGAATACTAACCACCGAATAGTGATCAGTATAGAGGGATAGTATAGTGATCAATATAGAGGGATAGTATAGTGAATAGTATAGAGAACAGCAGTCCGTATAGTAATAGAGGATAGAGGAGAAAGAATGATCCGTATAGTAATAGAGCATGGAATCGAAATAGTGATCTTGTAGACGTCACGATAATTCCCATATATATATATATATATATATATATATATATATATATATATTCTTTACTATCACGTGATCTACTTATTCAAAATGGGATCGTCTGTGTTTGTTCTCTGGGGATCTGTGTTCAAACTCCAGTGTCGGAAGCGACACTTTATTTCTATATAAACATGTAAACATGCCCGCTTCGCTAGTCGGTACACGAAGGAGAAACGAAGATCAGTGATCCGATTTCTCAGGTCGGAAGGCGTGTCAGGGGCTGAAATACAATACCGCAACAGTGCACTGCCGCGGAGTAATGCGCATGAGTGAATCGAGAAGGTTAAAAGTGACGCCCGAAGAAGAAACCGGACGCCCGTCAACCTCCACTAGCGGCGAGAAGATTCAGCAAGCTCGTGAGATGGTAATGGCGAACCGGTGACTTATCATCGATGAGGTAGCATGTTCTCTGCAGATTTGGTTAACTGCTTTTTGTTCCGCTTTGGCGTACACTGCTAGCGGAGCGGCCATGTTTACACTGTAACAGCAGCAACAAAAACTGGCGCGATCGAGCTCACGTGAACACCTAGTAGCAAACATAAGCAATTGTGACAAGACTAAAGATGCGTTTTGGCGAAAGTGCGGATAATCTTTGACTTACTCTCGTAATTAGGAAAGATTTTAGAGTACTGGGAACAAACAGCCTGCACAATAAAGATTGAAAACATAAATATCGAAAGAGAAGTTAGACCAGAGTGTGTTTTCTCACCGGATTTATCTAACCTTAAGATTTGAACTGGAAGCCAAAATCAAACTAAGAATTGTTGAAAGTACGAGGTAGCTTTGACATATTTGGGAAGGATATTCCAGAACTTATACTGGTAGCAAAAAGCTTGCATACGAGTAGAAGCTTATTTCATTAAATATACAAAGAAGTGTAAGACAATGATGGATCTTCTCGCCGGACTTATTCAGCCTATACACAGAGCCGGTTCTGATTCAGAATTTATTATTGTCGGCCACAATCTCAACTAAATTCAAAGACGGATATATGATAGGTTCTGACCTGGCACCTCGACTCTATTCACTTTCTCACAACTGATCAATGATGAAAAGAAAAATATTATCCAGGCCTTCAGTAATGCTAATAACATTCATACTCTGGCTTCCATTTTCAAAGTTCATTCGAGAACCATCAAGAGAACGGTGAATAAATTTAAAAAAAAGATGGAACAGTAGAGAGGAAAAATGGATCAGGAGATCAAAACAGGAAAAGGGATCATCATTTCAACTTAGAACTAAAAAGAGCAATTAGAAAAGATCCAATTCAACCCACAAGACGTTTGGCACGTGAGAGAGGAGATTCAGCTATGATAGGCCAAAAAGCAGTGAAAAAAGAGCTGAAAATGAAATCGTGAAACGTGTGAGGCACCATTTTACCCCAGGGCAGAAAGTTAGAAATTTAGAGAGGGCGAAGATCGTCTTGAATAAGTTGTGAAATGATCCTGGCTCCCCTCTGTCTTTTCTACAAATATTTTTATGGCATCTGCTCTGACGAGCTATTTTCACTGGTGCCCCGACTGCATGAATTTAAGCGTTCTACTAGATTGGCATCTCGGTCCCAGCCTTTTACTATCGAAACAGTTAAATGTAACCGCCTCTTCTACTCCAACAGCTTCTTCTCTCCCACTTCCCCACAGTGGAACTTTCTTCCGATTTCGTGCTTCCCTGATAACTATACTCTTCAAAAATTTAAATGTAATGTCAATCGACACCTTCTGATGGTTTGATCTTGATCCTCGTCCCTCTCTTTATCCTTTCCTCAAACATCCCCTCTTTACTCTTACTCCCACTCTCTGTAATCCCTATTCTTACTATTCTTACAGTTTAGCAACGTTGAATCGGATTTGTACCTCGATGGGTGACCGCTTGGGAATACCAGGTGCTGTAAGCTTGGATCTGCGGGTCGTGTAATGGATAAACTTTCCCCTCCTTCTCTCTCTCACTTCCTATCTCTTTTCCACTCCTTCTCTCTTTCCCCTCCTTCTCCTTTTCTCTCCTTCTTTCTTTCCCCTCATTCTCACTTTCACTCCCTCTCTCCTTTCCCTCCTCTCTTCCCCTCATTCTTTCTTTTCCACTCCTTCTCTCCTTCCCCTCCTTCTCTCTTTCCTCCTCCTTCTCTCTTCCCCCTCCTTCTCTCTTTTCTCCTCCCCTTCCCCTCCTTCTCTGTTACCCCTCCTTCTGTTTCCCCCTCATCCTCTCTTTTCTCCTCCTTCTCTGTTTTCCCTCTCCCTTTCTCTTTCCCCTCTTGCTCTCTTTTCTTTTATATTGAATTATTAATTTAAGGATCAAGACAGCATAAAATTAAGACTGGAACATCGTGACATTTTCACGGGACCTGCTATTTTAGGTGATTTTACAAGTGCATTCGTTATATTTTCTTTTGGTGTAATCAACGATTGCTATTTATACACTCTAAAGAAATTAAAAAAAAAAGATATAGACAAAATATTGGCAAACCGATCAACCTTATCATAGTTGCTGGCTTTATTTTCTTTATTTTCCTTCCTTCCTTCCTTCCTTCCTTCCTTCCTTCCTCCCTTCCTTTCCTTACTTCCTACATCCTTTCTTCCTTCCTTCCCTTCCTACCTTCATTCCTTCCCTTCCTTCCCTTCCTACCTTCCTAACCTCCTTCCTTTCCTTTCTTCCTTATTTCCTTACCTTTCTTCCTTCCTACCTTCCTTCCTTTCTTCCTACCTTTCTTCCTTCCTTCCTCCCTTCCTTCCTTAACTTCCTACCTTCCTTACCTCCTTCCTTTCCTTCCTTCCTTCCTTCCTTCCTTCCTTCCTTACCTTCCTTCCTTACCTTCCTTCCTACCTTCCTTCCTTTCTTCCTACCTTTCTTCCTTCCTTCCTTCCTTAACTTCCTTCCTTACCTTCCTTCCTTACCTTCCTTCCTTAACTTCCTTACCTCCTTCCTTTCCTTTCTTCCTTACCTTCCTTCCTTCCTACCTTCCTTCTTTTCTTCCTACCTTTCTTCCTTCCTTCCTCCCTTCCTTCCTTAACTTCCTACCTTCCTTACCTCCTTTCTTTTCTTCCTTCCTTCCTTCCTTCCTTACCTTCCTTCCTTCCTACCTTCCTTCCTTTCTTCCTACCTTTCTTCCTCTCTTCCTCCCTTCCTTCCTTAACTTCCTTCCTTACCTTCCTTCCTTAACTTCCTACCTTCCTTACCTCCTTCCTTTCCTTTCTTCCTTACTTCCTTACCTTTCTTCCTTCCTTTCTTCGTTCCTTCCTTACATTCCTACCTTCCTTACTTCCTACATCCTTTCTTCCTTCCTTACCTTCCTTCCTTCCTTTCCCTTCCTTCCTTCCTTTACTATTTCTTCCTTCCGCCCTTTCTTGCTTTACTTTGTTTCTTTACTGTTTCTTCCTACGTCCTTTCTTGTTTGATTTTCTTTCTTTCTTTCTTTATTCTTTATTTATTTATTTATTTATTTATTTCTTGCATGGTTGCTTGCTTTCAAAATATTAGCAAACCGATTGACCTTATTGACTAATTCGATATTCTGTTGTTATGGTAACACAAGATATGTTTGCTTATTGACGTCGGGTAATGACTTGTGTTAACAATAGAGTATTTGATTACTTTGAGGGGGAGATCAGTCAATGTGACTGATAAATAGATAACGTTATATTGTGTTTTATATTATATAGATTATTATGAAGTTGTTTCATTAACCTTCACTTAATGAAGACTAGAACAAAACTTGCATTGGACAAATTGTGAAGACATTTTTAGAGACATTGTTCTTTTCTTTCTTCCGATTTCATTTACTTGTTAATTCTTTCTTGGTTGCTTTCTTTATTTTTGTTTCTTCTTTCTTGACTCCCTTTCTTTCTGTCCACCTTTATTTATTTGTTCACTGTTTCTTCCTTCCTTGCTTTATTTTCTTTCCTTTTTTT